TCTGAGGAGTGGATTCTTTTCTTTTGAGATAATATATGGGAGGACCCCCCCTCTTATTAGGAGACTACAGGGAGACTTAAGAGAGACAGGAAAATTAACCCTGAGATGACAGCTTCAGGTCTTAGGTTCTCAACCAATGGGTTAGAGAAAGAGACCCAGTAAGTTTGACCCAGTGCACACTCCTTCAAGCCTGGAGATGGAGTCTGGGTCAAAGAATGAAATATTCAACCCCTGAACTTGTTTGGAAGGGCCCTTTCCCTGTTATTTTATCCCCCCCAGCTGCAGTCAAGTTTGCAGAGACAGGTCCCTGGATTCACTACACCAGACTCACGCCTGCAGCTGCGGACTGGGAGTGCTCTCCAGATGCTGCTACACCATTGAAGCTGACCATCCTGAAGAAAAAGGAGCACCGGAGAAGCTTGAGGATCAGAAGGACAACAGCCCTGCTCCAGTCACTCCTGAAGCTGACTGGTCTATGCACGGCCGAAGCTTAAGGAGACTACAGCCCTGTTTCAGCCACACAGGAGGGACTAGCTGATCAATGCCCCGTGAAAGATAAACTTCCCACCAGGACTAATGGACTCTTTCAACCTCTGAGATAGTTCTTATACTGTAATGCATTGCCACCCCTTGCTTCTAGATATATACACAGTTCTCTGTTTGGTTTTTGCTACTGGTTTGATAACAGTAACTCCTTCTGATTGGACTCTGGGTAACAAAATTTCACTTATACTTTTTGTCTTGCTTATATAAGTTTTCTAGGATTTGTTTGGTGTTTTAGTTTGGCTTTGTTAATTTATGCTGTTTAACCTATGCTAACCAAAACATTACTCTATTATTTATTTTGGTTTCCTTTGATAACCTTAAGGGAGTCTGTCCTACTCCTATTCCAACCACAGAGATCATGTGAACCATGTGTCAAGACAATCCACTATAACTAAGAGGTGGTAAAACATATATTTAGGACCTGTCCCACCAGAGGAATGCTACAGATGGATGACTGGAAAGGAAAAAGAGGTCCATTGGAAAGAAACTTGATTTAGGAGGTCACCGATCTTGGGGTGAAGGTAACTGGCCACCCCAGAGGATTATTGCCACTTATGGTCTTGCTACCTGGAAACAAAATGGCAGTTGGAGCTATAGAACTCCTATTTACATGTTAAACAGAATTATTCACTTACAAGCTGTACTAGAAATTATTATTAATCAGACTGCCACAGCCTTTGACTTCCTAGCCATACAACAGACCAGATGCGAGTGGCTAACTATCAGAACCACTTGGCATTAGATTACTTACTGGCTGAGGAAAGAATATATGTGGAGAGTTCAACAGCTCAGATTGTTGCATCCAAAAGGATGACAATAGACAAACAGTTAAGAATATAGCCAACAACACAAGAGAACTAGCACATGTGTTAGTTCATACCTAGAAGGGCATTAAAGTTTGGATCCCAAACATGCTTTGAGAAGATGGTTTTCAACTCTTGGTAGATTTAAAAGCTTAACTGGTGTAGTGGGAATTCTGCTGTTAACCTGTTTATTGCTCCCATGTTTGGCTCCACTGTGCATTAAACTATCGGGTCCACTATAGAAGCTTCTGTTGAAAGTATGACAACAACTAAGATTTTGGCAATATATAAGGCTTTAAGCCAAGATGATGGTAGTGATGCTCTTAAATTTAAAGGATTAAATTATGGGGAGCATCATTAAAGGGGGGAATTGAAGTGGCACCCCCTTTCTCCACAGAAAAGCCTGCTTCACCATGGCTGATTTTAGGACTGTCAGCAAAAGAGTCTCTGCAAAATGTCCGGATTTTTAGCCCCAGTCTCCTCCTGACCAATGGGAGAAGCATGCCCCGATCAAGATGAACCAAGAGAGGTAAAGGTCAACTGGCCGACCACATACAGCCCTCCCTCCTGGGAGGACAATCAGATGTGCCAGGGGGAACAGTCAAAGTAGGATCTCATTTAATGAGGAAGTACACACAGCTTATGTAAAACTGCACAGGAGCCAATCAGAATAAAGGTCAGAGGGGTGGAGCAAGTTCACGTGTACACCCATCTCATAGTCTGTAAGGAAAGGCACGAGCTGTCCACCAGAGCGGAAGAGTCCTGGACCTATCCTGAGGTGGTATGCCTCCTCCATCACCACCCACAGCACCGCCTCCTGGCTGATCCCCAGAAGACATCCCAGTCACAGGTGTGGCCTCAAGACCAGGAAGCAGGCAGCCACACCCTACATCTCCCCCTTTTCGTTTTATTAGCAGGTGTTTGCCTTACTCGAGAGTGTGCCTGTCTTAGGTTGTCCCCCTCTGGGGATCTTACCCAGCATTGACTATCACTCTAGCTCTTTGGGCAATCCTACCTGCAGGGCCTGCAGGCCCAATGGGAAGCCTTAAGGAAGAGAGATGGCTCTGCTCCCTGCTTACATCTGCACATCCCAGTAGGGGCGGTGGCCAACCTCATAGGGTTCACAGTCAGTATCTTGTAAGACGGCGTATTGCTGCCCGACCACCATCAGTTGAACAGTTCTGGCTCGATCCTTGAGAAACTGGAGGAGCCCAATAGAAACAGCACTCCTCCTGTAGGAACAGACCTAGTCCTCCTTCTCGGGCGGTAAGCAGGTTTGGAGGACTACCACAGCCAAGGAATTGAGATTGGAGGTAGTGCTGACAACATGGTGCACTGAGGCCAGCCAAGTCCAGTTCCCATCCCCGTGGCCACAACAAATGCCATGAGGGAGACAACGAGGAGTCCGGCCACAACCAGTCAAAGTGTCCAGAATGGTCCTTCATTCTTACAATTAAAGAATCATACCTCAACAGAAAACCCCACATACCCCATCGACAACAGGTCCAGCCATAGAACATCAAAGATACAAACAAATCTCCAACCTGTTTTTCTTTTACGCCTAAAATTACCATACAACTTTAGAACACCAGATTGATACATTGATGTTTTTATATTAACTAAATTTAGCTTTTAAAGAATTAACATAGCACAATTCTCTAAAATAACAGTTCTTGTTTAACCAGCTGTTTATTAATTTCTTTAAGATTACTTGCTCTAGAAACAAGAAACAAAACTTATTTTTATAAGTTTTATAAAACACAATGTTATGGGTAAACTAATGTTTTAAGGAATCTTTGTCCTTTTAACATATGACTGATATGTTAAACAGATGAAAGTAAAGACATCTTTACTTTCATCTGTTTACCCAATTTAAATTGAACTGTTTAAATCACGTGAATAAAAGATATTTGGATCCATTTTTTTTTAAATTTTTCATGAGCGCTCCTCATATATCTGCCAATCTTCATACCATGTGCATGACATATGGATATATGCACACACAGACATACAACACATAACACAAGTGTGCACACATAACACAAGGCCTTGTAGCTTTTTTCATGTGAAATCTCCATTGCAATGTTTAAAAACTCCAGTTTTTAATAGAACTGATCAGAAAAACATTAACCTAGGTCTGTAAGATCAAAATCATGAGCTCAAAAAATACAGAATCTAAGAAAAAGCAAGGGTCCTAGAAAAAATGACCAGCCGGTAATTAGAAAGCACCATACAATTTACTTTTTGGTTTAGTCTAGTTTGAGTTCAGGTAAAAGAAAGACACCTTTGCCCCCTCCTTTTTTTTTTTTTTTTTTTGATCCCCAGATCAGTCTCCTACTGAGCTCACAGGCTTCTTCCATTTGCATTTCAACTTAAGTCCTGGCTCAGGTGTGGAAGGAGCAGAGAAAACTGCTATTCTGAGCAGAAGCCTCATGCCCAAGGCATTTTAACCTTAAGTCATAATTCCCAGGTTTGGATGTTGAAAATTATGATACAAGTTTAAGATACAATTCACAAAATTTCATATCTTTACATCTTGTTTTGCCAAAGAAAAAAAAATTTCCTACACTAGAAAAAACTTGCTCACATAAAACTGAAAATAGGATCTTACTTGATAATATAAAAGCTACTATCGAAGAAATCCCTTCAGGATCATTAAGCCATTCCTTTGTTCTGAAGTTCCTAAAGTAGTATTAACTTACATTACATCACCTGAAAAATTCCAAAAGAGAACCACACACTACCATGTATATCCAAAATTAAACTTTAAAAATTTCCAAGACAGTTGTTATTCAATGTCATTTCAATAAGCCAGACCAACATCCCAATCAAACACTTTCCTTTCCTAAATCCTACACACTGAGGGGAACAGATTACTATCCTTGCCCAAATTAATAATGCACTGGTACACCTAATGAAATCTTCCCAGGCTACCTAATTCAAAAATTGATGAAAAAACTGAATGATTGGGAGTTAGCCGCCAACTTGGAAGTACAGTTCTTTAGTTTCCCATCCTAAGTATTTAAGTTCTCTGGCATGAATTATCTGAAATCATATACTAGACAATTATATAAACCTAACTTTTAACTGCAAGATTGTGCAAAGTTTCAAAAACCCATTCAGATACCAGATTGTTACAATAAAACATCATCCTGTAGACTCACATTCAACCAAGGTCATTCCCAAGAAACAAACTATAATATCAACACATTACTGCATTCAATGCCCCCCTATTTCCCCCTTTTTAACTAGACAGAGGTGGAGTATTCCTTACAGTGCAGGGAAGGAAGGAGGAAGTTCCCCAAAGCAAAAGGGCTTCAGCAGCTGCTGGGAGTCCCTCAGTCCCTCCTCCCACTTACAGGATTAGTTCCGCTGGTTTTGTCCCACCCCAGGCACCAGGAACACTCCATATCTCCCAACTTTTCAGTAGTAGGTTTCCCCAAGAAAGTGGAGTGGGGGCTCCTGGGATGTCAAAATTTGTAAAAAAAGAAAAAGGGGCGCAGGGTGAGCCTCGAGACGGCCCGCTTGGTTCCCGGCTTGGCTCCCTCTCACACACTTCTCCCTCCTCCTTCCCCTCAGCCATACAGGGAAGCAGGAGAAGCATCAACCAGGGAGTGTGAGATCACCCCATCTTTCCGGGGATACCCTTACCTCGGTACTCGCTTGGCTCGTTGACACTTTCTTCGTGTCCCTGTTCGGCGTCCCTGTTCCGGGCGCCAGATGTTGGGGTTTTTAGCCCGTCTCCTCCTGACCAGTGGGAGAAGCGGGAAAAGCACGCCCCAACCAAGATGAACCAAGAGAGGAAAGGTCAGGTCGACTGGCAGACCACACCCAGCCCTCCCTCCTGGGAGGACAATCAGATGTGCCAGGGAGAACAATCAAAGCAGGATCTCCTTTAATGAGGAAGTACACACAGCTTATATACTGCACAGGAGCCAATCAGGATAAAGGTCAGAGGGGTGGAGCAAGTTCACGTGTACACCCACCTTATAGTCTTTAAGGGAAGGCACAAGCTGTCCACGAGGGTGGAAGGGTCCTAGACCTATCCTGAGGTGGTCTGCCTCCTCCATCACTGCCCACAGCACTGCCTCCTGGCTGATCCCCAGGAGCTGTCCCAGTCACATGTGTGGCCTCAAGACCAGGAAGGAAGCAGGCAGCCACGCCCTACATTTTAGGACTGTCAGCAAAAGAATCTCTGCAAAAGAGTTCAGTGTAGATAAACTTCCTATTTTCCTGTCGCCCTGTTTACTTGGCCACTGGCCGAGAAGATACCAGCCCTCCAGGTGCTGGACACCCCCTCACTAGTTTTCACAAACATGTATCCAGTACAGTACTTTGAAGAAATGTGCAAACAAGGCCTCTGGCCTTGAGCAGGGCTTCACAGAGATGTCTACATTTTTAAGATAAGTTACAAATGGGCTCCATGGTAACAGCTGACAGGGGGAAGAAGGAGAGGGGAGAAGAAGTTTCCCCCCTTCTCAGTCAGATGTTGTCCTTGAAGGGTTAACTTTCCCAGAACAGTGAAAGAAAAAGCTGCTTTTATGTGAACTTCTGCAGACTGGGAACTTCCGAGCCCCTCCCCTTACATGCTGGGTATAAAACTCTGACACTCCCTGAACTCGGGGTTCAGGGGATTGATTACAGCAAAAGCTGTGCCCCCTGAACCTGGCTGCCCCCAAATAAAACCGTTTCCTGCTGTCTTCAGTGCCTTGCCTCCTTTGTCCCTACAACAGAAGGGCCCTGAAGGAATTAACATTTCAATCCCTCAGGGGACAGTCTCCAACTTCCCGGACTCAAAATTGGCCGCCTGGATCCGACCTGACTGGGTTTACCTCTCTATACTGACTGCCTGTCTGATTCTGGCTTCACTCCCACCCCACTGGAAGAAAGGGACACTTTTGGAATTTATTTGCCTTTGTGAGGATGTTGGTCCTACACAATTACAAGGTTTTAATGCTCACCGCGGCTTTAAAACAGGTACTTCAGCCCCAATCCTGGAGACACCATTCTCGTGGGCGGTGTTTTAATTGTGGCAGAACTGGGCATTTGGCAGGACTGCGAATCCGCGCCATAGGGCAGAAACCTCTCCTGGTTCCCACTGGCGGCAGAAAGCCGCGAGGCGAGGGGGGATGGGAACGGATATGGCAGCGGCCCGCCTGCATTTCTAACTTCACATCCGCCTCCTTTGGGGACAAAAAATGGAGGGCGGGATCTACCCCAGGCCCAACAAACAGTGGGGGCTCTGCAGTATGGGTGGGAGGAGGAGTCAGAGTCGCAGGCCTTGACGTCATCACAGCCGGCCTTTGCAGAGCATCACTCTTACCAGCCAGCTCCACCCAGACGTGGTAATAAACAGCTGAAATGGGACCACAGCAAGTTCCCACTGGAATCCATGGGCCATTACCCCCAGGTGCCATAGGCCTAATTTGGGGACGAAATAGTTTTAAAAAGGGAATTCAAGTAATGCCTGGAGCTATCGATTCAGATTTTAGAGAAGAGCTAACAGTCACTGTGAAATCAGAGCATGCCATTCGGCTCTCTACAAAAGCCGAGCTGGCACAATCAGTACTTTCACCTTGCTGTTCCCTAGACAGCCTGGCACAATCAGTACTTTCACCTTGCTGTTCCCTAGACAGCCTGGCACAATCAGTACTTTCACCTTGCTGTTCCCTAGACAGCCTGGCACAATCAGTACTTTCACCTTGCTGTTCCCTAGACAGCTCAACATTCGGGTTCCATGACAGGGTGTACTGGGCTCAGTTAATTCTGCAGGAGCGCCCCCTACTGGAACTTAAAATCAATCATAAAAAATTTCAAAGTATGGTAAATACTGGGGCAAATAAATCTGTTTTATCTCGTGGATTTTGGCACCAATGCTGCCTTTACATATTGTGCCTGCCAATTTTGAAGGCATAGGGCAGATTTCTCAGCCTGCCCAGAGTGCCCAGTATCTTCGCTGGGAAGACTGAGATGGTAATACTGGAATTTTCAAGCCTTATGTTTTGGACACATTAGCAGTAAATTTATGGGGCAGAGATATTTTAAGCAGTTTAGGATTATTATTAGTAACCCCAGATTCTATCGGTTCATTTGAGGAACTTAATCAAGGATTGACTCCTAGGGAAATTGAGGGAAACTTACAGGGTGAGTACCTACCTATGACCCAATCTCCTTGGCAGAGATTATTTAATGCACCCAACCAAAATTTTTCATGGGGGCCCTGACCTTTTCCCTGACCACAAAAACAGCAAAAATATTAATTGGCTCACAGAAGAGCCAATCTGGATTAGTCAGTGGCCCCGAACAGGGGGAAAACTTAAAATAGCCCACATGTTAGTTGAGGAACAGCTTCAAGCTGGTCATTTAGAGCCTAAGCTCAGCCCTTGGAACACACCCATCTTTGTAATTTAAAAAAATCTGGTAACTGGAGATTATTACAAGACCTTAGAGCTATTAATCAGGTCATAGAGCTCATGGGAGCATTACAATCTGGGCTTCCTTCTCCCACAGCTATCCCTTTAAATTATAATTTGATAGTAGTAGATCTAAAAGATTGTTTTTTCTCTATACCTTTGCACCCAGATAACTGTAAAAGTTTGCCTTTAGTGTCCCAGCCATTTATTTATTTATTTATTTATTTTTGTATGCTACTTTCATTGGTAGTTTATTTATTTTTAGAAATTTTCACATCACTTTCCAAAGTGGTTGTACTAATTTGCAGTTCCACCATAATATATAAGTGTAACTTTTCCCCCACATCCTCACCAACATTTATTTTTTTAAAAATTTTTATTGTTGGTTGTTCAAAACATTACATAGTTCTTGATATATCATATTTCACACTTTGATCAAGTGGGTTATGAACTCCCATTTTTACCCCATATACAGATTGCAGAATCACATCAGTTACACATCCATTGATTTACATATTGCCATACTAGTGTCTGTTGTATTCTGCTGCCTTTCCTATCCTCTACTATCCCCCCTCCCCTCCCCTCCCCTCCCCTCTTCTCTCTCTACCCCCTCTACTGTCATTCATTTCTCCCCCTTGTATTTTTTCCCCTTTCCCCTCACTTCCTCTTGTATGTAATTTTGTATAACCCTGAGGGTCTCCTTCCATTTCCATGCAATTTCCCTTCTCTCTCCCTTTCCCTCCCACCTCTCATCCCTGTTTAATGTTAATCATCTTCTCATGCTCTTCGTCCCTACTCTGTTCTTAGTCACTCTCCTTATATCAAAGAAGACATTTGGCATTTGTTTTTTAGGGACTGGCTAGCTTCACTTAGCATAATCTGCTCTAATGCCAACCATTTCCCTGCAAATTCCATGATTTTGACATTTTTTAATGCAGAGTAATACTCCATTGTGTATAAATGCCACATTTTTTTTTATCCATTCGTCTATTGAAGGGCATCTAGGTTGGTTCCACAGTCTTGCTATTGTGAATTGTGCTGCTATGAACATGGATGTAGCAGTGTCCCTGTAGCATGCTCTTTTTAGGTCTTTAGGGAATAGACCGAGAAGGGGAATAGCTGGGTCAAATGGTGGTTCCATTCCCAGCTTTCCAAGAAATCTCCATACTGCTTTCCAAATTGGCTGCACCAATTTGCAGTCCCACCAGCAATGTACAAGTATACCCTTTTCCCCACATCCTCGCCAGCACTTGTTGTTGTTTGACTTCATAATGGCTGCCAATCTTACTGGAGTAAGATGGTATCTTAGGGTTTTGATTTGCATTTCTCTGACTGCTAGAGATGGTGAGCATTTTTTCATGTACTTCTTGATTGATTGTATGTCCTCCTCTGAGAAGTGTCTGTTCAGGTCCTTGGCCCATTTGTTGATTGGGTTATTTGTTTTCTTATTGTTTAATTTTTTGAGTTCTTTGTATACTCTGGATATTAGGGCTCTATCTGAAGTGTGAGGAGTAAAGATTTGTTCCCAGGATGTAGGCTTCCTATTTACCTCTCTTATTGTATCTTTTGCTGAGAAAAAACTTTTTAGTTTGAGTAAGTCCCATTTGTTGATTCTAGTTATTAACTTTTGTGCTATGGGTGTCCTATTGAGGAATTTGGAGCCCGACCCCACAATATGTAGATCGTAGCCAACTTTTTCTTCTATCAGACGGCGTGTCTCTGATTTGATATCAAGGTCCTTGATCCATTTTGAGTTAACTTTTGTGCATGGCGAGAGAAAGGGATTCAGTTTCATTTTGTTGAATATGGATTTCCAGTTTTCCCAGCACCATTTGTTGAAGATGCTATCCTTCCGCCATTGCATGCTTTTAGCCCCTTTATCAAATATAAGATAGTTGTAGTTTTGTGGATTGGTTTCTGTGTCCTCTATTCTGTACCATTGGTCCACCTGCCTGTTTTGGTACCAGTACCATGCTGTTTTTGTTACTGTTGCTCTGTAGTATAGTTTGAAGTCTGGTATCGCTATATCGCCTGATTCACACTTCCTGCTTAGCATTGTTTTTGCTATTCTGGGTCTTTTATTTTTCCATATGAATTTCACGATTGCTTTCTCTATTTCTACAAGAAATGCCATTGGGATTTTGATTGGCATTACATTAAACCTATAGAGAACTTTTGGTAATATCTCCATTTTGATGATGTTAGTTCTGCCTATCCATGAACAAGATATATTTTTCCATCTTCTAAGATCTTCTTCTATTTCTCTCTTTAGGGTTCTGTAGTTTTCATTGTATAAGTCTTTCACCTCTTTTGTTAGGTTGATTCCCAAGTATTTTATTTTTTTTGAGGATATTGTGAATGGAGTGGTTGTCCTCATTTCCATTTCAGAGGATTTGTCACTGATATACAGGAATGCCTTTGATTTATGCGTGTTGATTTTATATCCTGCCACTTTCCAGCCATTTATTTTAAAGAACCAGTTAAAAGATATTG